AACAATGAAAATTTCAAATTTCTTTTCATTTAATTATAAAAATAATTAATTCAACGAAGTTTTAAAAAGAATGTTGTAGTATACTCTGTGTGAAAGAACACTCATAACTGAAATTCTAAGAGGCACATACTGTAACTTTTGTATCAGTGTTAAATAAAGGGGTGTGGTTATTAATGAACACTCCTATTTGGCACTCCCTAGTTTGCACGTCAATCTTGTCTTCCAACCCCTATGTCCATTCTCTAAATACAAATCAGTAATACTATTTCTTACAGTAATTAAATCAATATTTCCAAATTACATGAACAAAGGTTTGATAATTATATCACCTACTATATAGAATTAATACTTTTATTATCTTATAGTATTTATATGTTAATAACAGAATGTAGACAATAAAAATAACTTATAAAAAAAGACACTACTATATGAAACATACAAATGATACATCTGTGTATTATATTATAAAATTCACGTACTTCTCGTTGTTTTAAATATTTATTTTGTACGTGGACTTTAGTAAAAAGAAAAAAAAGATAATTTGCGCGTAATTAATAAAATAGAAAAACAGAACATGCAATTATATATACTTTGATCATAAAGATCAATGTATTAATATCACTTTTTATGTATAGAAACAGTGAAATAGAAAACACTTCTTATCATTATTCACAAACAAACTATGTATTTCCTGATTTCTTTGAAAGTTTTATGGATTACTGTAGTATTATTTTAAGAATTTCAATATAAAATGATTTTTTAATCCTGCGTTTTGTTGCTGAATACATAACATTTTAAGTATGTGTTACAGCAATATAAACTTTTCTAAAGAACATTTTACTGTTCACAGACAATGAGTAGTACAACTCAAAGATTGAAAACCCTTAGCTCATTAATTCGATGAGTTAGGAATTTTCGTTAGAAACAATATTTCTTGCCAGAAGAGCAGGAAGTTCTAGCAAATCTATAAGATAAATGAGAGCTTTATCACTTATCCTTTATTAAAACAATATAAAGAACGTGACTTTATGTTTACACTCATTCTTTCCTGATAAACGTTCGACCCCTGTAAAATATAACACTTTTAAAGTTATTATCCTAATATAATGTATTGACTAACAAATACTTTTGAAAAGACTTACGTAATGGTTTTTTTTTCAGTATTTTTCGATTGAGATCTTGCACGATTTAATATTTTTAAGAAATCTGTTGTTTTGGTACGCATCCTTGAGTGAATATAAACTTTACTACATTTAATATGGTAATGCAAGTAATTTCTAAACATGTGTATTAAATCAATAGTATTATCACGAGCTTCTCTATTTGTATGCCTTGGAAACAATACTATAAAAATGATAGAATAAAAGATAAAGATAAATATAGCAGAATTTTAAATATTTTATGCATACTTTGTATGTTTTTAAAGCACAATTAAATTAATATTTACCAAATGTAATGTATCCAATGCAGTCACCAACTGCTGCTTCAGAATCTTGCAATTCTAATGGTGGCTCACGATGATTAAATAAAACTTGTGGAGCTGTGTGACTTGCACGCCTACCCTCTTTTAATTCTTGTAAAAATAATTTTCCAATAACCATATCATCTTCATCTTTAAATATTGTGCTAAATACCACTGTTACTCTATCACTTTTAGCTTCCACATACCTGTAAATATAAAA